AAAAGTGTCACTAGAGTGTTCAATGGCATTCTCATTATGAAACAATATTTCCATTAAATGCAAAATGTGAATACATTTTTTTTCCTAATTTATGATATATAGTGGGATTATTTAAATAATGTTAGAACATTTTTATCAGTTAAAAACATTCAAACTATACCTAGTATAATTACAATTGTAATTTACAACATCGTTTCATTAAAATAAACTAAAACTTAAGTTAGTACATTAAGATGAAAATTACGTAAACATGACTGGTTTGCTCCCTGGTTTGCTTAAAACTGTGATAATATTATAATAGGGAACTTGACATTCATTGCTTCATTGGACCAAAAGTAACTACAGATACAATCGGTTTAACATTGTTAACAGTAGCTTTATAATACGTTGGTGACTTGATTTTGCTGCAATATACTTGGGCTGTGCAATAATTTACATTTAGCCTGTGCTAGGTATAATATTAAAATTGTATAATCTACTTACAAAAAGTCGATTTTTGAACTTAATGAAATATCCAAGTATGGTTTTTTTTTGTATTAGAACCTGACATCGAAAAGAATTTTTTTAGGTGCTGATCCATAACTACAGATATTTTAAACTAAGATGTTTTGATTAAAACTGAGCGAATCAGTTACTGGAAATTAATTAATATTATCTTTACAGAATTGATTTTAAATGATATTATAATCATATAATACGAGTATACTTTCTATGATCAATGATCATACAATTAATATTTTAATATACTAGAATTATTTTACCAATACCTCTTATAATAATTTATGATTTATAATAATGGTTAAACTTGTGAGTTTATGACTCTCGGATTATTTATTTTGTCGGCAAAAGTTATAATAATTAATAATTTTGATATTATTAAAACGACCCATATGAAGTAATACATTTGAATTTATTATTGTCAACAAAAATAAATAAATCATGTACTAATAAAATTTGATATCCTGTACGATGGTATTGTAGTCATTATTGATTATATATTTTAGCAATGACTTATGCAATTAATTTTGTAGTATATTGTCTAAGCATATTTTAAATACTGTTCAAATCTCAATAAAAAAACTAGTAAAATACATAACACACAATTTATGTTTTTACGGGTCAAAATTCTTGGGAAAATTTAATAGTATAATAATAATAACCCAACTATTAAAAAAACTCTCTTTTTAATTTAAACGAAAACTCTTATATATTTATTTTTTACAATGGAAGATGCACAAACTATATGATGTCAATTTATGAATTTGTATGCGAACATTTGTTTATTGTTCTTCATTAGTTTTCTTATTTTTCAAACAGACGCTGTGTTTGCAATATTAGCTATATACATAAAAGTTCTTCCAGTCTATTACCAAATTCAAATCGTTGTTAAAACAAAAGCGTTTTGGCGATTAAAAACATGCAACAGCGTCTGACGCAAAACGACAAGCAATTTAAATAATGTTTTAAAAAAACTGGTAAAATCTGTGAAATAATCAAGCAGTTATTTAGAAGTCTATAACTCTGTATATTTTTAAATAAATGAATAGTCTACATTTTTAGATCAGAAATCGTAAGCGTCTTATGTTTGATATTCATAGTAAATTAATCATTATTAAATAAGTATTCAATCAATTTTATCAAAAATTAAAATACGACATATCTTTTAATTAAATGATTACACATAGTTTAATGTAATAATCTTGTAAGTTATTGGTGGCTTATGTATAAATGTTATCGCTAGGATGCTATTTGAACGTAATATATGACTACGTCATATCTACGAATATTATTTATCCAGATCTAATGTTTCATAATATTGTTCCATATTATTACAATATACGTAATATATTGGTAATGAATTAGTTTTTATGTGTACAATGTATGTCATAAACTCTGTTACTCATATATTTAGTTAATCCGTATCAATGTATACTGTTTGTGATTTACGGGCTGAACCCTATGAATAAAAACAGTGTAAATAAATTAGATTCAAACAACTAAAGCAATAACGACACATTTTAACAAGAGTATTCAAATTGAAAAACCATCTTAATAAAAAAAAAAAATTATATTGAATTTGAAATGTTAGGTTTGTACTGGCGATGATATTATGCCCATAGATTTATTTTTCATATAATTAATTTGGAATTGGAGATTATTAAAATATATAAATTAATGGTTAAAATATTAAGGAACTTTAAGATAATAAGAGATAAAAAAGCAGGAGAGTCTGAATACCATTAGATAGCTAAATAGGCAATGTAAAACCGTTGAGTATATTTTTTAAAATAAATATACATTTTCCACATAATATACATATTTTTAAGTATAAATCAAACATATTTATTCCGTGTATAAAATATTAAAACTTTGTAAATTAAATATCATCAACGCTTTACGACGAAACATAGCCAATAGTCATCTAACATAATACAGCAATCGCAATAATTGCGTAAATAAATTTTTCTCTACGCTATTTACAGCCTTATCGATGGCTATATGACCCCAGTATGAGAATAAAATGTTCGGTACACATTCATGTGAGGCACAAAATCTTGGTTAAGATAAGATAAAGTTAAAATAAAAATTAGTAGACAATATAAAAACTGTTGACTCTACCGTGCTTGCGGATTTGCAATGTGGTGGAACATAATATTGTAATTTTCATAAACCGTGCTTTGTTCGTGTTTAAGTGATCTTACGTAAATGGGCAATCAAATCAGATCATGCCTAAAGTGTATTCAAATAATCCATTCTCCTTACGGTCACAGAACACATGAATACCATCACAAGATTTTTAATTCATTGTGCCAGTGTGGTTAGTATATCTTCTAAAGTATAAAAGTATATTGCAGTCTCAACATGGGATGAAAAACGATTACGAATCACTGATGTACCTATGTCGGTAGGCACTTATTTCGTTTTTCTACATAAAACCTCTTATCGGGTTTTTCTTTTGTCGAATGGCTTCGACAGATGGTGACTAACCAGTAATCAAACAGTTATTACTTAATAGTTATTACGGTTACGATAATATTATATTCAGAATTTAGAGATATTGAACATTAAACTCTTATCACGTTTTATCCAGCAACATTAAAACATAATGAATAATATTTATGTAACAGTATTTTTTAATTATATACTGTAACATTAATAACGTGCATATAATATATATCGGTAATTAAAAATTATCATTTTATTTTGTACAACGATTTTGTAGAAACGGTATAAAAAGCATAATTCTCAATATAGAGGAACTTTCCTGTATTTTTTTGATCGTTGTAAAATTACATTACAACGGAAATAATAGGTATGATTAATTTATTGCACGTTTTACATTTTAACGTTTCACAAAAAATGTTACCCTGAAAATCTTGCGGGGACAGAGTTATCACGTGTATTATATCAGTGTATTATTCACAAATGTCTTTTTATCTACGTACCTTCTATTATGTATTAATGCATATCAATATAAAATATATTATAGGTATCTATTTGTTCGATTTGTTTACTCTTAAAGTTAGATTTAAAAAATCGCCATTCAAATCACGTAGTGACGTAGGTATTAGGTATTAAGGTTTACGTAACGTGTATATAATGTCACTATAATAAATAAAAAATGTATTATTAATAGAATTGTTAATTAAAAAGTTGTTTGTGTGTGTGTGTGTTTCAAACAAACTTTCAATTATTTAAACTAAACTATTTCTCTTTGAAATCCATTCGGAGCTGCACGTTCTTTTTCCAACGTTGCTGTTGTGCTGTAGTCTTCTCTCCAGCCAGACGTGAATATAATTTTAATTTGTCACCGCTTTTACGAGAATACACTTTGATACAAACGTTCGCGTCGCCGAATAGCTTGAAAATTAAAAGAAAAAATGTAAAGCGTGAATAAAATTGTAATATATTTTAAGAAAACGTCTGGACCTGCAAGTCGTTTTTATTATAATATTTATCGCAATTCATTCATTAGTAATCTACCTATATAATAATATTGAAAAAAACTTCCGATGGTATCACTAGGTGGATAATAATATGATATGCACACCTTTGCCACGTTTTTACCGCATTTTCAGTGTATATAATATATTATGTATTGTGCAGTAAGTGGATGAAATCGCGTCATAGGATGGGGCCTCCAGAGATTACCATTGTCCTGGAGCGCTGATTTATCCGGTTTCGGTTCCATATTTGTGTTATGGACTTAAGATGTTACGTATTCTCCAACGGCCCGCTTGATAAAATTAAATAGAAAGACATTTATACAATTTGTAAGCCATAATGGATCATAATGGAATGTGCAGTACGAAATAGCTTATATACTATAAAAGTATAAAGTATAAACCTACGATATAATTCATAATATCAAACAGAATGACTGCAGCTTTTAATTAAAATGTGTATATACCTACGGTGGTTATGGAGCCAGAAATCATGGTAAGGTTACTTCAAAATGAACAATACCAACCGGTTCTGGTTCCAAAATAAAAAATTCTCGACTTCGAGCCCAACAGAAAATAGTTTTAAGAAGAAAGATAGTTGCTTACCTACAAATTATAATAGTCGTGTACGAAAAAATTACAATCCTACCCAATGGATTTTAAAAATCACAAATCAATCGGATAATAGGTTAAGTACTTCAAATCGTTTTTCCGCTTTTTGACGGTTACATACAATTTAAGCTCTAAAGTCACATTCTGTACACTGCCCATACCGACTTTTCACAACTCCGTCGACCGGATCCGCCAGAACTCGAATAGAAATCTCGACTCGCCTAGATTATAGCTGATGATGTACCACAATATGGTAACCATATATAGGTACCTACGACCGACCTAGCGCGCTGTTCTGAGTATAATAAACGTCACACGAAAAAAATCATCGCCTCCGATGCCACCGCCGGCGTTTGACCGCGCCCATCGTCTCCACCGGTATGATATCGCCGCATAAATAATACGTGTAAATGTGTAACGCGCATAGCCGTCACCCCGCCGCGACGAGCACCGACATCAATAACGACGTGCTATTACAATAAAATGTAATAATACATACGACGATGAAATAATTACTTTGATACAACACCCGTGTATAGTGCACACGCGTGTAATACAGCGACAGTATATGTGTATCATCATCCGTCGTGTGCACATCGGTACATCACTATACACACGTACCGTCGTATCACGGCCGCGCGCGCGCACACACACACACACACACACACACACACACACACACACACACACCGACTCTAGCTTGGGCGCGCTTGCCCGTCTATATACACGTGACACTGACGCATTGGCGGCAATCGCTTTTCAGTCCGTCTTCAGGCAGTGTCGCGTGTCCGTCCGTCAGCCCGTCAGCCCGTCATCCGTGCCGCCGAATCCGCACGCGTCCGCCGCAGAGACGAATCGCGCCGATCTCTTGTCGTTGGACTACCGTTGCGACCGAACCCGTAAGCATTGGCGTCGTCCCGAACATGTGACGCGGCCGCCGCCGAAGCGGACGGTGCCGCACCATCGCCGCCGCAACAACCGCCGGCCCGGACGTGCAGCACAGCACCGCAGCCGCAGCCGCAGCCGTCGTCGCCCCGGCTGGCCGCTATGATCGGCGGGTTCTTCAACAAGCCCGTCGGCCGGCAGTACGTGGCCGCCTTCGTCGGTGAGTATATAGTCCGGTTGAAAAACCGTGCGGGTTCAATTCTTAGAACTGAGTCCCCGAACCCATCGCCCATCTCTCGTATATTCTCGTCATTGGCTAGGTTCCCCCAATGCGACTGTTATATTATCGGAAGTAAATTCAATTTAGTAGTGTTACATAAAGTCAGTGGCAATGCCAGGGGTGAGCCAAGCTGGGCCTGGGCCTGCTTTAAAAAGTCTCAACTCCTCCGCCCTAAAATTTAAACAAATTTAGATATAGGAATCATTAAATCGTTATGGTTTTAAAATGGATGAAAACCGGTTATTCAGAATTATTTCGTGGCTTAACTATAAGAACACAAACATATTGTAACATTAATACATTATGACGTGTGTTCAAATATTGTCATGTATGTAATTATCGTTTTGAGCGGGTTGAAAAGTAGGAATATGTATTCAATCTTAAATGCCTCATAAATAAGCATGTGTTCACCATCGTCTAAATGTGAGAGGAATAGAATTACTAACTGTGCAATACTCGTTTCTTCTTCAGCAAATGAACGAACTTTTCAATTCATGTAAAGTGGATAAATATAAAATCGAAAAATTCTATGATTTACAATAATCTATATAAGTAAATTAAGCATAAACGCTATAGAAAAAACGTTTAACATTGACGATATTATACATAATTTTGTTGGATGTCATAAAACAAGAAGACGTGTTGTTATTAAAATTAATTATATGTGGACATACAACACATACAACAATATTATAAAATAATTTGTTTTTTTTTCTTTAATATAAGCCTCAACAACACAGATTATTGGCTAAATTATTATTTATATCTATCTAATTAGAGATGTAACTTACTATACTATATTATCCTATCGATCTAAATTATCATTTTCAATTAAAATTTATAATTTTTTTAATCTTTTTATGTGGACCTGAATGGTTTTTGATTTGAATGATTTGAATACTGCATTAATATTGTCTTATCAAAAAAGAAATGCTCATATTGTGTGAGTTTGATGTGTATTTAAATTGGTATTACAAAATGTCATATTTATTGTTTAGTAAAAATATTTTTGGTTACATTTTATTGAACAGTTATATCACATAATGGTGTACTTAATAGTGGGTATAATTTTGGCGGCTGTGATATATAACAAGAAAAAATGTGTCAACTTCAGTCCTGACGCCGCGACTTTATATAAAGTCAATTCGTTGTATTTCGATTTATGAAACGTTATAGCTACTAGCTAGTCTCTTTTCTTCTATAAACGATAGTGTGTGATAAATGTATATTCATTTAAAACCAGGCAAATTGAAACCCAACCACGTAGGTTATTATTTTAGTAGGTTCGAACGCGCCACCTTAAATCCTTTTTTACTTTTTATACTCGATTCCCAGCGGTGTACCCAAGGGGGGCGTGGGTACCCCAATTGTCTTTTTTTCTTTAATAAATATATTATTTACATACGAAAACTGTAAAAGGTTAATTTAATTTCCACGTAATCCCCCCCTACTTTCATGATCCCGGCTACGCTACTAAACTGATCAGCACTAGCTGAGTTTCCGTTTTCCGGTCTGCCATCGCTAAAATTTTCACCAATCGTCGTTATTATCCTCTCGGAGGAGTAAGCTTTTTGATAACCGGCGCTGATTATAAATTATAATACATCGGTCACCGTGATATCGCACGCGACCCCGTTTCTGTCGACGATGTGTATACATCGCGTACATTTTCGCTTTAATTTACATCGACATATTTAACATACCTACTTCTGCAGTTGTTTCAAATTCATGAATTTTTTGCCTACACTGTTTTTCACTCAACAGCTGGTCGCTCGAAACCTGCCACGTCCTCCCTTCCATATCTTCCCCTCCGAACACCACCGATCATCACTGTGTAACATGGACAAGTATAGGATTCGATTGTATAGGTTTCGTAAAAATGCAATCTGGTTAATCATACCCTTCGTTTATTATGTAGGTAGGTTCTTATGCCCATATAATATACAACGAATACACGATTCTGGCGTTACTCGACTGTGCACGTACAGTAATAACTAACGAAACTTTGCGCATAATTAAATAACCCATTTAGATCTAGCGTAAAGTTCGTGTGCGGATTTAATTCGAAAGTCGTCACTTTAATCACACGTGGCACATATTATTATAATGTACGTGCATCGCGTGCAGCGGATACCTCGACAAGGGGGAGGAACTTCAATAAAATACGAACACGATGTCTACCCCTACGAATATAGTATAATATATAATATATAAAATACGAATATCTTTACGACGAGGAGACTTACGATTTTCCGACGATGTCTTTTAAGTCGCGCAGCGTTCCGTATCAGCCATAACTGCTGGTCCTACGCCATGTAATGCATGGGGAATTGCATGATATCTCAAAGTACCTACTATAGGTGTACGAGCTATTTCGCAGTTTTTCATTTTTTTCAATCGTTTGTTACATCTGTCTTATAATTATTATTGTTTTAATGCTAATGCTTTAATAGTAATTATTTATAAGCTTTATGGTAAAATGCATTCATTTATTCTCTTAATTTGTAAGAAAATAATTAATATATGTGTAAGTAGCATAAAATTATATGCGTTTTAATTTTATAAAAAACACAATTTTAATTATCAACTTAAAAGATAAACGACTTTTATATATATATAAAGGATTATTAATAATACAATAACAACGAGATTAAAAGCTTAGGTATTTACGTTAATGTTTTAATTTTAACTGTAAAAATTCTTATTTTAAGTAAAATGTGTTTTTTTCTTATTATGATAATATTTAAGGGTTAGCTAATTTCTAAAGTATAGGTAACGCTGAATCACAAATCACAATAATATTATTGCAACTTCCTATATACTTGAATTTTATTTACTATATACATCATAATTGTTGACAATAACAGTTCGCAATAATTTATCTTCCATTTATCATAATTGAAACTAACACTTTTCGACTTCATGATTTCTTTTCTTCAACCGCTATTATTGTATTACGTTTATGCCGTATATTATATGTTATTAAGCCGATTTGTTCATTACATTTTATTATTTTAATTTTTTTAATGTTGCCTTTGCTGAGACCATACGAATTGGTTAATATCATTTGGAAAATTTACCAATATAATTTTAATATTGAATAGAGATAATATGCTATATACTATACTATATAACGCTGAATTACTGCAAAAATTGTCCATGCCTAATTGAACCACTTATTTAAGAAACGAAGTACCTCCAAAAAAGGTGATTCTGAGAAAACAATAAGAAAACTATCTTTTCTCTACCATTGGTACATATTTTTTTTATTTTTTTTGTCACTTCGTAAGTTGGATAAATGACTACGTTGTCCTCTATCAGTGATATATGGCGGTGTTAAAATCTTATTAATATCCAACAATCTTAAAATAAAATATTTTTTTTCAAAACGTTTATACATATGATATGCGTATTTCCATTGAAAACACGCGCCACACATCATAATATCATTTTTTAATATTTTGTAATCCAAAACGTTTCTCAAATAGGCCGTTCAATACTTTTGACGGGCAATTGAAGTATTTATTTAAACGGTGTTGGTTGCATCATTTTGTAATTTTAAAAACTTTTGCTAAGACACAAGAACAGAGCATGATTGGTATAATAACTAAAAGTATATAAAAAACATAGCTACTCGTTATTTTTCCTCTACAAGTAAAATGTATGAATCATGAATAGGTTCACGACCATCATAACAACGAAAACCACACGAAAAATCAACCAGACATTTTTTTAGTGTATCCAGCCCCAATGACATATTTATGTTAAAAACAAATTTTGGAAAAATTATTAAAAAATCATTATTGCAGAAACATGGATGTATAGTAGTTAAATATTATATAACTTTCTTTTGCTCTCAGATAAGAGTATAAGACTATTATAATTTGTGGAGATAATTTTTAAAATAAAATTACAAATGATAATATTAACACAATTAAAATACAAATACTACATTATATAGCAACAACTGATTCGTAGATGAATCGATGATCAAGTTATTAAATTTAAATTCTAAGAATTAAAAAAAAATTAACTTAAGTAATAAAAAGCAATTCCTATCTAACCTTGAAGAATAGCCATTACAATGAACCAATCAGCTGAGTTAAATGTTTCGATATTTAAATAGCAGCTGAAAACATTTTCCATATTTTAATTACTTTACACAATTGTAAATCGGACCGAGTGAAAAATTTAATAATACGATATTACATCGATCAACGATGTAATAAAGATATTAGATATTAAATATAATTTCATTAAATTGATCGTGTGGATAACTAGGAACACTATTATTTACACAAAACAAAACATTAAATCGAAATAACTTAAATTAAAGTAGGTATCTATGTTTTTTTATGAAATTATTGAAAAATTTTAAGCTGCACTTATAATGGCTTATGAAGTACATATAATATTTCAAAATGTTTCAAAACCGATCATCGGATCATGTTTGGGAATATAACTTTAAAATGTTGGTACTTCGTCCATTCTACGAAAAATATGTTTTTGGGATTCTCAAAGTCTATGCATTTGTTTGTTATGGTACTTATACAGTTAAATGCCTAAAATAGGAACCACTTTTTGGTACGTAAATATGTATATTATTTTCAGTTAGTGCTGCTGTGTGCCACTACTTAATTATCTTACTATTCGTGTCTTTAAAATATAGCATTTCTTAACCAAAAAACCGTTTCATTTTTCAAAATATAAATACAGTGGTACTTACAGTTTTTATTTTATTAGAAATACCTATAATTCAAAATCAATTTTACATTGACAATATGTAATTTGTAGATAAAGTCAAGGAGAATTAGTTCGAAGAGCTTGAACATGGATAGAATTTCAAAATTTCAATTTTTATTTATTCCGTATAAGTTCTTTGATACATTATTTTTGTTATAAATTATGCTTTTTTAAAAGTAAACTGAGAGTGGTTATTT